ATTATTGTGTTTTAATTTTAGAATTAAGTTAGAAACGTTAGTTCTAGTAAGGGGCCACTGCTAATTGGTGTTTGAGTTTGTTTACAGTTGATCTAGTTGTTCGATTTTCAGTTGAACATGGCGAGACATCTCTGACTAGTACTAAAGTCATACTATTCATTTTCCAGATTCCTAGAAGTTATGGTTGTCGGATTATGTCGTTTGCGGTGAAATTCTACCGGGACAGAATAATCTAACTTGGAGATCTAAGCCTTTCAGACCGCACTAACGAGTTGATTTTATATCAATGTACATGCCTCGGTGTTCTTTCAACAACAGCGAAAACTTCAGATTTTATCTCTTCTCGTACAATTAGACAAAATACACAGAATGTCTAACGTTTTTTTTAATGATCGAATGGGGTGATCTCCTTGAGTATATGTTGTTTTGGGTTGTGCGACTACTTGTGTAAATTGTGATGGACAACACTGGCAGCGGTCTTCTTTTGGTACGGTTTCCATTACTCGTTTAGCATGTTGACCACATCCTAGAAGGTGAATGTAGATGGTAGATGCTTTGATTACTATACGATGCAGTGTCTACCTGCCCAAGTCTTCTTTTCACATCTTGAACATGTGATAACATAACACATGATGGCTTCGTTGAGTAAATTGTTATTATTTGTTTCGTTTAACGTTAAACATAAAAGAAAAATGACAAAAAACAAAAAGAATCATTAGTATCTCACATTCACCGTGGTTACTAATGGTTTAATTTGCAGTTTGAGAAATGTATGATTTTTATATATTACTATCCGATGATGATTGTAAACCTGTATACAGCTTGTCCAGTTAACGGTCTCCTTTTTTCGCTCTTTTTCAAAGAACGATGGTAATAAAGTTAGAAAATAATCTAAAATTACAACTAGATAATTGAGTAGATTAAACATTTCTCTATAAAATGAAAAGTGTCTCGGGTCTGAACGTTGATTCGTTATGAAAATACAGCTGTTGTACAAACAGTCCCAAAAATCGATGTTGGGGCTATCTAAAAAGCGTGTCTAAAAGAGTGAAGACCAGCTTGCAAAAATTGAACAAGTATACCAGTTCGTAG